GGGCAGGTGGGGGTGGGGGAGGGGGGAGTGTAGTACTTCTAGACTAAGAGGAAAGTAGCAAGAAACCTATTGACTCATCAGTTAAGCAATTAGCTCAGGGGTGGGCAAAATGCGGCCATTCTATCCAGCCCACAGGGCCCCTAAAAAATTTAGAAAATACATATTTATCTGCCCTGGGCTGCCTATCATGCAGCCCTCAATGGCCAAAACTCAGTAAGCGGCCCTCTGCCCAAAACAGTTGCCCGCCCCTGAATTAGCTGGTGGTTCACAGGTGCATCAAAGGTTTCCAGGAGAAGCTCCCAGTAACAGCTGTGTGGAAGCTGCTGTATTATGGGTTAATCATTTAACTGATGTAATTCAAGGAGACTAAGTATATTTCTTAAAGGATATTTATATGCCTGGCTGGAGTTGGGGGCAGGGGAGCCTAGGCCCCAGGGGTGCAGTGCTGCCCACACTGACCTAAGGGCATGGGACAGGAGCTCCCATGTTGGAGCAGGGTCCAGCCTGCTGTGGGTAGAGCTGCTCAAACCAGAGGCAGACTCAGCCTCTCTTAGGGCTGGGCAGGGCAGGGGCTGTGGGCTGCAGGCCCACATGGGACTCAATGGCCATGTGTTGCAGGGTCTGTCAGAAGACACACTGGCCGGACCACAAGACTTTGTGCCGCCCTGAGAACATCGGCTTCCCCTTCCTTGTCAGTGTGCCGGAGTCGCGCCTCACCTATGCCCGGCTGGCCCAGCTGCTGGAGGGCTACGCCAGGTATGGGCTGTGGCAGGCACAGGCCTCTGGGCCCAGCAGGGGTGCCCCTCCCCAGCCAGCCCAAGGCTCCAGGCCTGGCACTGGGTAGAGGCAGCTGCCCTGGCCCAGCCTACCCTGATGCCTCTCTCTGTCCCCCAGGTACTCGGTCAGCGTGTTCCAGCCGCCCTTCCAGCTGGGCAGGATGTCGCCAGAGCAGGGCCCGCAGCCTCTGCTCCCCGAGAAGCCGGAGCCCCCAGCCAAGAGCAGCTGCACAGTGGCTGCCCCGGCCTCTGAGTCAGGAGATGGGGATCAGGTCTCCCACCTGCTGCCAGAGCCCCAGCCCTCACCCCCTGCACCGGAGCTGCACCCTGAGCTGGGGGACACCAGCACCGTTCGGAGCAAGCTCCTTGCAGCCCGGAGCTCCTTGCTCAGCTTGGACTCTGACTTCTCTGAGCACCCTCTGGAGGTGTTGGGCGAGGGCCGTGGGGAGAAGGAGCCCTCCTACGAGAGAGCCCTCAAGCCTGAAGGTGAGCGTCCAGCCTCTGTGGCTGCTGCTCCTGCCCCAGCTGTGAATCCCCTGGGCAGGGCCTGTGGGGGCCCAGCCCTGCCCTTTGCCAGGGTGCCTGGTCTGAACACCGGGCTGAGCCAGGGAGCCTGCCTGTCCCATTCCCTGCTGGGGTGGGTGCCTTTGGCTTGACAGATCAGACCCAGCCCAGCACAGGGGCAGGGAGGTGACATAGCAGGTCAGGGCTGAAGCCCCTGTTGGCTTGCAAGTTTCTTGTGCATCAGAGCATGGCACGGAGCTGGCTGGCAGCATTGCTGACATGCTGCCCTTGCCACCTCCAGCTGCCATCCCTGGGTACCAACAGCCACCTGAGGTACTAAGCGCCCACGCCACACAGTTCTACATCAACAAAATTGATGCAGCCAACAAGGAGCACAAGCTGGAGGACAAAGGTGAGCCCAGCTGACACCACAGGGTGGTGCAGCTGAGCACGGTGCTCTGTGGGGGCTTCTAGGGGTGTGGGGGGCAGGCTGGGCTGGAGCCCTGCAGCAGGTAGGGGAAGTGCCCAGCCAGCAGCTTGGACCCCTGGGTTCTTCTGGCTCTGCTGTGCCCCAGGTGGGGCTGCAGAGAGACATTGACCCAGGCATGACCAGGCTGTCCGAGCAGCAGGTCCTGCACCACCTGGGAGGGCAGCCAGTGCCCTGACTGTGGCAGACCATGCCAGGAGGGGCCAGTGTGTGCCCAGAGCCTTGTTGACCTGCTGGCCAGTGGGGAAGTGCTTCACGGGCAGCAGAGCAGGAGCCCTGGCTGGCCATGATGATCCTGTGGGGCCTGGGGTGATGGGGTAGGGCAGGCAGTGCGCTAAACTCCCCCACCCCACAGGTGACTGTCCGCTGGAGCTGGCTGACGACTGCTCCTTGGCCTTGGTGTGGAAGAATAATGAACGGCTCAAGGAGTTTGTGCTGGTGCAGTCCAAGGAGCTGGAATGCGTGGAGGACCCAGGCTCAGCCAGCGAGGCGGCCCGTGCCGGGCACTTCACCTTGGAGCAGTGCCTCAACCTCTTCACCAAGCCCGAAGTGCTGGCCCCTGAGGAGGCATGGTGAGCAGCGGGCAGGGCCCAGAGTGCTGATACTGGGGCAGGCAAAGCCCCCTCTGCCAGTCTAGGCCCCAGCCTGCCTCATGACCAGCACCTCCTCCATCTCCCCAGGTACTGCCCCAAGTGCAAGCAGCACCGCGAGGCCTCCAAGCAGCTGATGCTATGGCGCCTGCCCAACATCCTCATCATCCAGCTCAAGCGCTTCTCCTTCCGCAGCTTTATCTGGCGGGACAAGATCAATGACATGGTCGATTTCCCAGTCCGGTGAGTGGCCCCAGGGGCTGGAGACGGGCCTTCCCAGGGTGCCAGGGCTCTCCCAGAGCCTGCTGACAGCCTGTGGCTCTTTGAGCGTGGCCTTGAGATGGGGGGAGAGGAAGGGATAGCAGCTGCACTGACAAACCTGCGCATCCCCAGGAGCCTGGACCTGAGCAAGTTCTGCATTGGGCAGAAGGAGGAGCAGCAGCTGCCCATGTACGACCTGTATGCGGTGATCAACCACTACGGGGGCATGATTGGCGGGCACTACACGGCCTACGCCCGCCTGCCCAGCGACAAGAACAGCCAGCGCAGCGACGTGGGTGAGGGCCCCAGCCTGGCCGGCCCATGGCTGTCCCTTCCTCTCCCAGCTGGCTGGCTGGCTTTGCCATGGGCAGTGACTGATTCTTCTCTCCTCCCCCCAGGCTGGCGGCTCTTTGACGACAGCACGGTCACCATGGTGGATGAGAGCCAGGTGGTGACGCGCTATGCCTACGTCCTCTTCTACCGCCGGCGGAACTCTCCTGTGGAGAGACCCCTGCAGGGCCGGCCCCCGGAGCGCCACGCCGAGCGGGCCAGCTCTGCTGAGGCAGCTGCCAGCCAGGTGAGAGTTGCAGGGAGCTGGGCCTGGAAGTGGGTGGGAGCAGCCCACCCTGGCACTTGACATGTGCCCACCTGCTGGGAGGAGCAGTTGGCACCCTGCACGCCCTGCGTGGGCGCTGTTCACAGGAGGACGCACTAGGTCTGCTGCCCATAGAGCCACTGGGGCAGGCCGCATTGTAGCTAGCATGTGGTGTGGTGTGGGGACCTGCTGTGGGCATAGACCCACTGTGGCAGCCGGGGTGACTGCCAGCTGCACAGGTGGGCATCCCAGCAGGGCCCGCACCGCCTCAACCTGGGAGCAGCACAGAGGAGCCTGGTGTCAAGGACCCAGAACCCTGGGGGAGGCCAGGCCCTGGGTTTGGTGGCTGCGCTGCTCTGAAAGTGCTGCTGGGGATCCCCAGATCCCCTCAGACAGGATCTGGGGTCTTCTGTACTGGAGCAGAGCCTGCGTTCAGGGGAGCTTGGCATGGGGCTCCATGGCCAGTTGCGTGGCAGAGTAAGTCTCATCTCCAGCCATGCTGAGGCAGCCTATGGCGGGCTGCCAGCAGGACTTGCCATGGGGTTAGCACTGCGCCGAAACCTGGGGGTGAGGGACCCGCCGCCTCCCCCCATCCTGGCATGCCTGAGCTGCTACTCCCACCCCTGCAGTGGTCACTGGGGCCGTGACCTCTGGGAGTATGGCCCCTGCCCGCCGGGCTGCCGGTCCCGTTTTCATTACTCACTGATCTCCTCCATCCATCCGTCTGCCTTAGCTGCTCTTGCCCAGCGCCCCTCATGCTCGCCCGCCTGCCTGCCTGCCTGGGACTGGCGCTCCCAGCTGGAGCAGAGCGGCAGGCATGGAGGGAACATGCAGGGGTCTGGAGCACCTCTAGCCACCCTGCCCCTGACCTGGGCCCTGCTCGGGGCTCCTGGAAGAGTCCTCAGCGGTCTGAGGAGCAGTGCCCCTGCCTCCCCCGGTCAGGTCCACACAGAGCCGAGGGCCAGCTGGTGCCCCTGGCCCAGGAGAGTGGCACGCTGGGCTGGCACAGGCCAACATTGGGGTGCTGCGTGGCTCCAGCTCCTGGGCCCCTCAGGCTCCCTGCTGTGCCCAGGGTCACGGTGTGCCCATAGGCGTGCACTGCTCTGATTGGCTGTTCTCTTGCTGATCTGCCTGCATTTGGAAAGCTGAGCTGCGATTGGCCGCACTGAATAATCCTCCTGTGCACTTGCAAAGCCTGGGCTGTGATTGGCTGTCGTCCACATCCCCCCCAACCTGCAGAAGCTGAGCTGTGACTGGCTGTCCTATGAGTGAGCTTCGTGTTCCTGCCTGCAAAGCCTGGGCTGCAATTGGCTGGTGTCTGGAAGGTCCTGCATATGGAGCAGCTGGGCTGTGATTGGCTGGTGCCTGTGCCATGTAATCCTCTGGGAGCCGAGTCTCGAGGGCTGGGCGAAGCTGCGCTGCTGGACTGGGACCCCGCCTGCCAGGCACTCTCCTCCACCACCCGCACGGACCCCACCCAGTGCCCGGGAGCTCCCTGTGCCACCCGCCCATCTCCTGCCTGCCACGGGGTCTCCACACGGACCACAGGCTGCCAGGAGCCGTGGGGCGAGCACAGCTGCGGGGCGCTGGGGCTGGCGGGCGCGGGTCGGGGATGGCGAGGGGTCCTGCCCGTTTGCTCTCCAAGCGCTGACGCAGGTTTCCACATCGCAGGCTTCTCTGATCTGGCAGGAACTGGAGGCTGAAGAGCAAGAGGAGCTGCCTGCGGTGCCTTGGCAGGCCCGTGGCCCACAGGCCAGGGCACAGGTGGCCACCCTCCCGGAGCACGCCGACGAGGGCTGCGTGCGGTACTTTGTCCTGGGCACTATGGCCGCCATTGTGGCCTTCTTCTTGAACATCTTCTACCCACTCCTCTACCAGCCACGCTGGAGGTAGGCACTGGGCCCGCCCTCCACAAGCCTGTTCCTGGTGAGGGCTGCTCCACACCTGGACAAGGACTCACCTCACCAGGTAGGTGCTGGTCAGGGCACAGGACTGGAGCCTCCAGGACAAACTTGACCTGCCGCCAGAACCAAGAGCCCTGCTCCGCTGTGGAGAGGCCACCAGGCTGCCAGCTCCCCAACCTTCACAGCAGTGCCCTGCCACGGGTGGACACGGCCAGGATCCAGCAAAGGCCCTGTCTGGCCACAAGATGCTCAGCACCTACTTGCGTCGCAGCCCCAGCTGGAATGGAGGTGGTCTGGATGCCGGGGGGTAGGACGGGTGCGGGACGCAGGGACTGAGGAGGCTTCCCTAGCTCTGCACGCCTGCTCCTTTCTGCGCGCCAACGCCCATGGCTGCCACTTGCACCTGGCTGGACTCTGACCTGCTGCAAGGTGGGGCTGGCAGCAGGCACCAGGTCCCGCCCTGGGACCACATCACCCAGTGCTCACAGTGTGCATGCCACAAAGCAGCATCTGGCTCAGGGGAGTCTGTGCAGCTGTCTGGACATCATGTGCCAGCCTGTGGCCCCTACGAGTTGATGGCTGCCCACGCGGCAGGGCCCTGGGGGCCAGACCAAGTGGGGACGGATGGCAGGGAAGCACTTTGAACCTAGACCCAGCCTGGTCCCAGTGCTGCCCCACTGTTGGGGGCAGCAGCTGCTGGCTACTGGTGCAGGGAGGGCACCCAGGCGGAAGAAAGCTGCTCCCTCCCTTGCCTCGAATGCACTAATAAAGCCCGGCTGTTTAATAAACCTGCGGTGTCTATCTCCTCTGTGCTTGCCTCGCTGGCCTGAGGGCAGGGCCAGAGCCGCCTGGCTGGCTCAGCTGCCCTGCGGGGGCAGGCTCAGACCCCAAGCCCTGGGGGGCAGGTCAGGACAGGAGCGAGGGCTTCCAGCACCAGCCGGCCTGGGCCAAGGGCAGGAGGCCGGGCCCGGGGGCTGGCGGCAGCGGGAGGGCGGGCGGCCCTCGTGCCTCTAACGTGTGTTGTGTTCTGGTTTTAGGGGCTGACGGCGGGGCCCTTCGCACCGGGCGCGGCCCCCGACCCGGCCCCGGACGCGGGCCCCGACCCCTTCGCCGGCGCGGCCG